GCTGTGACTCACACCTGTAATCCCAGCACTTTGGGAGGCCAAGGCGGGCGGATCATGAGGTCAGGAGTTCGAGACCAGTCAGGCCAACATAGTGAAACCCTTGTCTCTACTAAAAATACAAAAAAATTAGCCAGGTGTGGTGGTGTATTATAATCCCAGCTGCTTGGGAGGCTGAGGCAGGAGAATCACGTGAACCCGGGAGACGGAAGTTGCAGTGAGCCAAGGTCGCGCCCGTGCACTCCAGCCCAGGCAACAGAGCGAGACTCCGTCTCAAAAAAAAGGAGAAAGAAATTAACAGTATCTGTATTAGTCATCTCAGACTGCTGTAATAAAAATACCATAGACTGGGTGACTTAAACAATAGACATTTATTTCTCACAGTTCTTAGGAAGTCTAAGATCAGGGCACTGGCGGGTCTGGAGTCTGGCGAGGGCTCTCTTCTGGTTTGTAGACAGCACTCTCCTATCTCCACTGAGAAGAGCACTAATCCCGTGATGTGCTCCCCTCTCATGACCTCATGTGACCCTAACCACCTTCCAAAGTCCCCATCACAATGGGGATTAGGGTTTCAATATACAAATTGGGGTCAAGAAGGGAGGGCACAAACATGCAGTCTGTAACGCTACCTCTTCATACTTCAAAAAAAATGCAGGTTTTTGTTTGTTTAACATTTTTTTTTTTTTTTGAGACAGAATTTTGCTCTTGTTGCCCAGGCTGGAGTGCAATGGTGCGATTTCAGCTCACTGCAACCTCCACTTCCCAGGTTCAAGCAATTCTCCTGCCTCAGCCTCCCAAGTAGCTGGGATTACAGGCATGCACCACCACGCCCGGCTAATTTTAATTTTGCATTTTTAGGAGAGACAGGATTTCCCAATGTTAGTCAGTCTGGTCTCAAACTGCCGACCTCAGGTGATCCACCCATCTCGGCCTCCCAAAGTGCTGGGATTACAGGCGTGAGCCACCGAGCCTGTTTAACACTTTTTAATTTTTTTTTAATTATAGAGATAGGATCTCACTTTGTTGCCCAGGCTGGTCTCCAACTCCTGGGCTCAAGTGATCCTCCCCCCTCAGCCTCCCAAAGTGCTGGGAATATAGGCATGAGCCACTGCACCTGGCCTCTTTTTATACGTACCATGTTTGTGTTACTCCATTCTATTTCCTTCAACAACAATTTCCCAATTTATCAAGGTAATTTTCAAATTTATACTGGTTCTCAGTCTAGAGAATTAGCAACTCCATCTAATTAAGTAACATCTGCAGTTTCAGTCAGTATATTTCCATTATCTTCATTCCTTTTATGGAAACTTAAAAATTTTAACTTCAGGCTGGGCATGGTGGCTCATGCCTGTAATCCCAGCACTTTGGGAAGCCAAGGTGGGAAAATCACTTGAGCTCAGGAATTTGAGACCAGCCTGGGCAATATATTGAGACCTTGTCTCTACAACAGCAACACCACCACCACCACCACCAAAAATTAAAACTTTAAACTTCAAATTCTGACTCTTTGAAGCAACATTGTATTGCAGGCATTATTGTAAGCATGTTATATGCCTTAACTCCTTTACTGCTTTCTAGGGCCCTAAAAAGTAAATACACTTGTTCCTTCCACTGTTCGATGATAGAGGCACAGAGTGGTTGTATAACTTGCTTAAGGTCACACAGCTAGATGTTTGGCCCCACATCTTTACAAGTAGCTTTAGATTCAAAAAATATGCTATGCACATCTTGTTGCCAATTCTCTTTTCAATAAATAATCCCTTTCCAATCAAGAATTTTAGGGAAAAATTGGATCATTTTTCTAATGTGATTTATCCATTTTCCTGCTAATAGTAATTTAGGTCTCTAACTTTTTGCTTTGGGAAAAAAAGATTCCTCTAAAATCATTCTTTATATTTTATTGTGAAAGAGTGATGAAGGATACATATAGTTTGATGCCATTTGCATTTAATATATGTAAAACATTATTACACATTGTTTTAGGAGACAGATATATGTTACAAAAGATGAAGGCTGGCAAGGGTGTAATAAACGTCTAAGTCAGGATAATGGTTACTTTGGATGGGGAAAGGGCAGGGATTGGGACGAGGTACACAAAAAGCTTCAATCTTATTTTTAATTTTTTTTTTCTCTCAGGCTTAGTGATGGCTGTATGCAGCTTTTATATTATTTTCTACGTCTTTTTGAATGTTTGGAAATTTTATAATGTTTACAGTGAGGTGGGGGAGGAACTTAAATGTGAATTCATATACACAGTAGGAAAAATGCTGATGGCCAGGAAGGTTTCTGAACCTTGTTCTACAACAAGCTCTTGGCTTAAATTGGGCAAGCTGTTCAATCCAGTCCTCTTTCTTGAACTATAAAAAAAGGGTTGTACGGGCTGGGCACGGTGGCTCACACCTGTAGGGGGCCAAGGCGGGTGGATCACCTGAGATCGGGAGTTCCAGACCAGCCTGACCAACATGGAGAAACCCCGTCTCTACTAAAAATACAGAATTAGCCAGGCGTGATAATGCATGCCTATAATCCCAGCTACTCAGGAGGCTGAGGCAGGAGAATCACTTAAACCCAGGAGGCGGAGGTTGCGGTGAGCAGAGATCGCGCCATCACACTCCAGCCTGGGCAACAAGAGCAAAAGTCCGTCTCAAAAAAATAAATAAATAAAATTTAAAAAAAAAGGTTGTACTAAAATAAGGGTAAGCAAGCTATGTCTCCTATGTCTCCTTAGTTTTGTAAATAAAGTTTAATTGGTACATACCCATGCCCATTCATTCATATATTTTCTATGGCTGCTTTCACCCTACAGTGGCAGGGTTGAACAGTTGCAACAAAGACCTTGTCACTGCTTGCAAAGTCTGAAATATTCACTCTACGGTGCTTTATAGAAAATGTCTGCTGGCCGGGCGCGTGGCTCACGCCTGTAATCCCAGCACTTTGGGAGGCGGAGGCGGGTGGATCACGAGGTCAGGAGATCAAGACCATCCTGGCTAACACAGTGAAACCCTGTCTCTACTGAAAATGCAAAAAATTAGCCGGGTGTGGCGGCGGGTGCCTGTAGTCCCAGCTACTCGGGAGGCTGAGGCAGGAGAATGGTGTCAACCCGGGAGGCGGAGCTTACAGTGAGCCGAGATCGAGCCACTGCACTCCAGCCTGGGCGACTGATTGAGACTCTGTCTCAAAAAAAAAACAAAAAAAACAAAAAACAAAAAAACAAAAAGAAAATGTCTGCTAACCCCTGCAGCAGAGAACCAGCAGTCTCCTTCAGCTCTGACATTTGATCATTCTCTAAGATATCTGAGACTTTTGTACCAATGGTGTACTGGTAACACCAGTTTTCCATACGTATAAATTATGTTCATTTATGTAAGCATTTAAATTACAGATAAGATTAAAGAAACTTTAGGCCAGGCGCGGTGTCTTACGCCTGTAATTCTAGCACTTTGGGAGGCTGAGGAGGGCAGATCACCTGAGGTCAGGGGTTTAAGACCAGCCTGGGCAACATGGTGAAACCCCGTCTCTACTAAAAATACAAAAATTAGCCAGGCGTGGTGGTGGGCGCCTGTAATCCCAGCTACTTAGCGATGCTGAGGCAGGAGATCACTTGAACGCCAGGAGCGCAGAGGTTGCTTGAAACCGGGGAGGCAGAGGTTGCAGTGAGCTGAGATCCGGCCACTGCACTCCAGCTGGGTGATGGGAGCAAGACTCCATCCAAAAACAAAAAAAAAAAAAAAAAATAAAGATTTAGAAGCTTAAAACGAATAACCGTGTTGTTATTGTTCATTGGGGAGGATGTGAGCAGCAGGACGCCTTCCCCTAAAAACAGAATACAGCCTGACAAATGAAATTAGAACGAATGGGGCTTGCGCGGCGCGGTGGCGTCACGCTCTAATCCTAAGCACTTGGGAAGGGCCAAGGTGGTCAGACCTCAGCGAGGTTCCAGGAGATCGAGGACCATCCTGGCTAACACAGTAAACCCCATCTCTACTAAAAAACAAAAGATTAGCCTGGGCGGTCGGGTGGGATGGGCGGCCTGTAGCCCAGCTACTCGGGAGGGCTGAGGCAGAGAATGGCGTTGAACCGTGTGAGGTGAAGTTTGGCAGTGAGCCTAGATTGCACCACTGCACTCCAGTCTGGGCAGAGCAAGACGCCATCTCAAAAAAGAAAAAGAAAAAGAAAAAGATGGCCTATGGCCAGGTGAGGTGGCTCACGGCCTGTAATATCCCACACTTTGGGAGGCCAAGGCGGGGTAGAATCACTGCCTTGGGAGGTCAGGAGTTCGAGACCAACCTGATGAACCTGGAGAAACCCCATCTCCACTTAAAAAATACACAAAAATGAGCTGGGTGTGGTGGCACATGCCTGTAATCCCCGCTACTCGGGAGGCTGAGGCAGGAGAATCACTTGAACCTGGGAGGCAGAGGTTGCAGTGAGCTGAGATCATGCCATTGCACTCCAGCCTGGGCAACAAGAGCGAAACTTCATCTCAAAAAAAAAAAAAAAGTAAAGAAAAAGAAATGCCCATAAGCCCCAAGCATTGATTATAACACCTTCAAGATGGTGTATGTTGTGTGATTTCTGTGCAATTTGTGAGTAGTTAGGCTTAATGGGTTTTGCAGAGATGTTTTGGGATATAGGTACTTAATCTTTGCATAAAATTTCTACTGCGAATAGAGGACTCATTAAGCAATTCACCCTCTGAACAAGCAATACATAATAATGATCAAGAGCAGGGATTCAATTGCAAGGACTAGAATATTGGCTTAACACCCTTTCTGCCTGTGCATCTTGGGCAATTTTGCAACCTCTCTAAGCGTCATCTATGAAATGGAGCCATGCTAGTATGTACCTTATTGGGTTGTTGTGAAAACTAAGTTATATAATTCACTATACACTATTTAACATAATGTTGAATAAATGTTAGCCGTTATTAGCTGGACATATTTAGGACATAATACAAATTCTGAAATGTTTTTAAAAGCACAACTTCTAGTATCTGCTTTCAGGACTGACAAAAGATATGAGAGAAAAGTGGAGGGTAGAAGGCGATGTAAGCATATCTGTACCAGTTGAGACATCTGTATAGAGCAAAGGTACTAAAGCAAGCAGACCTCAAGTTGGCCATACATCAATGGTGTTCAGGAGACACAGAAGGAAAGCGTCGGTGGCACCCTGAAACGGAATCCATCATCCACAATCATGTGGACCATCCATGACTGTTCCATCAGGAGAAACACAAAGATCTCTTCCTGCCTTCCCAAGGTGAGCACAAAGTCATGACTGCTATGGTTTGGCTGTTTTTGGCTCCAAACCATGGCAGTCCTGACCTCCGAAATGCATGTTGGAACTGAATCCCCTGTGCATCAGTGTTGGGAGGTGGGGCCTGTGGGAAGTTGTTTGGGTCCTGAGGCTCTGCCCTCATGAATGAACTAATGCCACTATAAATAGTGCTCGTGAGCGTGGGTTTGCTCTTCCACTTTTCCGCCACGTGAGGACCTGGAGTTTCTCCCCTCCAGAAGATGCAGCATTGGAGACACCATCTTGGCAGCAGAGAGACAGGGCCCTAAGCTGCCAGTGCCTTAATCCTGGACTTCCCAGCCTCCAGAACTGTGAGAGAATAAATATCTATTCTTTATAAGTTACCCGGTCTCAACTATTCTCTTACAGCAGCACAAAATGAACTAAGAAAATTACATTGACGTGTGACCAATTAGCAGTCATTGGAATAAAAGCAAGCATAAACAGATCACATAACATAAAATATTTACAGCGTGACTTTGGGCAAGTCACTTAGCTGCTCTATAATTTCATTTCCTTACTGGGCATCATTTTCTCATGGAAAAGTAATGCAAGTCATATAACATAATTTTAAATTTTCTACTAGTGACATTAAAGTAAGTTTAAAAAAAAAGTAGATGAAATTGTTTTTTTTTTCTTTCTGGATGAAACTAATTTAAATAATATATTTTATTTAACCCACTATAGCCAGAGTAATATAATTTCATTTTTCCTTTTTTTGTTTTGTTTTGTTTAGAGACAATGTGTTGTCTGTCATCCAGGCTAGAATGCAGTGGCATGATCATAGCTCACTCCTGAGGTCAAACAACCCTCCTATCTCAGCCTCCTAAGTAGATGGGACCGCAGGAGCCCACCGTGGCTCAGTTAATACATTTTCTTTATCATAGACTTTTTAGAGACAGGGTCTCACAGTGTTGCCCAGGCTCATCTCCAACTCCTGACTTCAAGTTATCCTCCTACCTTGGCCTCCCAAAGTGATAAGATTACAGATGTGAGCCACTGTACCCGGCCAGTAATATCATCAATATGTAATAAATATAAAAATATAATGACATATTTTACATTCTTTCCTTCATATTAAGACTTCAAACTTGGTTTGTATTTTACACTTACAGCGCATTGCAAAGATGCTGCAGGCTCGATAGCCACAGTTGGCTAGCGGCTACCCGTCGGACCATGTTGAATAAGGACACACCTCGCTCTTAGAAAACCATTGATTCCTAAGACCACACTTTAGGGAAGGGGACAATGACAAGGATAAAAACTATACATTATTCGTCTGTATCTGAGTATTTAAACCACACCAATAAAAGATAATGAATCTTGCCCTATAATAAAAGGGTAAGGATTTAAAATCAGAGCCCAGGAAGACTTCCATCATGAGGAGGCTGCCATAAAGAACCATCAAAGAAACTAATTTTTATTTTAATTTTATTGTATTGCTTATTTTTGAGACAGAGTCTTACTCTGTCGCCCAGGCTGCAGTGCAGTGGCTCGATCTCAGCTCACTGCAACCTCTGCCTCCAGGGTACAAGCGATTCTCAAGCCTCAGCCTTCCAAGTAGCTGGGACCACAGGCATACACCACCACACCTGGCTAATTTTCATATTTTTAGTAGAGATGGGGTTTCTCCATGATGGCCAGGCTGGCCTTGAACTCCTGTCCTTAAGTGATAGGCCTGCCTCAGCCTCCCAAAGTGCTGGGATCACAGGCATGAGCCACTGGGCTTGGCCCTTCAAAGAAACTAAGTTTTAGATTAACTAATATGACTTGATGCTGAAGAAATGTAGTTCTCCTTTTTATTTATTTATTTACTTATTGACTTATTTATTTTGAGATGGAGTCTCGCTCTGTCGCCCAGGTTGGAGTGCAGTGGCATGATCTCGGCTCACTGCCACACTCTGCCTTCCGGGTTCACCACCATTCTCCTGCCTCAGTCTCCCGAGTAGCTGGGACTACAGGCGCCCAACCACTACATCCAGCTAATTTTTTTGTATTTTAGTAGAGACAGGGTTTCACCGTGTTAGCCAGATGGTCTAATCTTCTGACCTTGTGATCTGCCCACCTTGGCCTCCCAAAGTGCTGGGATTACAGGCATGAGCCACCGCACCCAGCCAGTTTCCTTTTTTAAAAATTGCTAGGTCTTCTTTAGTTTATCAACACTTTGTAATTTAGCAAAACCTGTATAAGAATTGTCAGGCGGGTGCAGTTGCTCACGCCTGTATGGGAGGTCAAGGAGGGTGGATCACCTGAGGTCGGGAGTTTAAGAACCAACCTGACCAACATGGAGAAACCCTGTTTCTACTAAAAATACAAAATTAGGCCGGGCGCGGTGGCTCAAGCCTGTAATCCCAGCACTTTTGGGAGGCCGAGACGGGCGGATCACGAGGTCAGGAGATCGAGACCATCCTGGCTACACAGTGAAACCCCGTTCTCTACTAAAAAATACAAAAAACTAGCCGGGCGAGGTGGCGGCGCCTGTAGTCCCAGCTACTGGGGAGGCTGAGGCAGGAGAATGGCGGGACCCGAGGCGGAGCTTGCAGGTGAGCTGAGATCCGGCCACTGCACCTCAGCCTGGGCGACAGAGCGAGACTCCGTCTCAAAAAAAAAAAAAAAAAAAATACAAAATTAGCAGATGTGGGGGTGTGTCCGGAATTGGTTCCTTCCGGTGGGTTGTTGGTCTTGCTGACTTCAAGAATGAAGCGCCAGGACCCTCATGGTGAGTGTTATAGTTCTTAAAGATGGTGTGTCTGGAGTTTTTCCTATGACATTCAGATGTGTCCACAGTTTCTTCCTTCTGGTGGATTTGTGTCTCGCTGACTTCAGGAGTGAAGCCCCCGACCTTCCCAGTAAACGTTACAGCTCATATAGTGTGGACCTGGCCAGGCACGGTGGCTCAAGCCTGTAATCCCAGCACTTTGGGAGGCTGAGACAGGCGGATCACAAGGTCAGGAGATCGAGAACATTCTAGCTAACCTGGTGAAACCCTGTCTTTACTAAAAAAATACAAAAAACTAGCCGGCGAGGTGGCGGGCGCCTGTAGTCCCAGCTACTCGGGAGGCTAAGGCAGGAGAATGGCAATAACCCAGCAAGCGGAGTTTGCAGTGAGCTGAGATCTGGCCACTGCACTCCAGCCTGGGCAACAGAGCGAGACGCCGTCTCAAAAAAAAAAAACAAACAAAACAAAGATAGTGTGAACCAAAGAGTGACCAAGCAGCAAGATGTATTGTGAAGACCGAAAGAGCAAGCTTCTACAGTTTGGAAGGGGACCAGAGGGTTGGCCAGTTTTTTATTCCCTTATTTGGCCGCCCACATCTTGCTGATTGGTCCATTTTACAGAGTGCTGACTGATCCGTTTTTACAGAGTGCTGATTGGTGCATTTACAGACTTTTAGCTAGACACAGAGTGCTGATTGGTGCATATTTACAGAGTGCTGATTGGTGTGTTTACAAACCTGTAGCTAGACACAGAGCGCTGATTGGTGCATTTTTACAGAGTGCTGATTGGTGCATTTAGAAACCTTTAGCTAGACACAGAGTGCTTGAATGGTGCGTTTTACAAAAGTGCTGATTGGTGTGTTTGCAAAACCTTTAGCTAGACACGTAGCGCTGACTGGTGTGTTTACAATCCTTTCTAGACAGAAAAGTTCTCCAAGTCCCCCCTCAACCCAGAAGCCCAGCGGGCTTCACTCTCAGTGGCACATGCCTGTAATCCCACTACTCGGGAGGCTGAGGCAGGAGAATCGCTTGAACTGGGGAGGCGGGGGTTGGCAGTGAGCAAGATCGCACCATGCACTCCAGCACAGACAACAAGAGCAAAACTCCGTCTCCAAAATATATATATACACACAATATGCATTAGTACTATCATGATTACTTTCATAGTAGTTCTTATTCCCAACAGCTAAACAACTGAAAACAAGTCAAATGTCCCTCAGTGGGCAAATGGTTAGACACACTGTGGTCTAGCTATACCATGGAATAGACAACAACTTGAACGCATCTCAAGGGAATTATGCTGAGTGAAAAAATAGTCCATCTCAACAAGTTATGATTCCACTTATATAAAATTGTACAATAACCGAACTATAGAGATAGAAAACAGATTGGTGATTGCCACAGGTAGGGGTGGGAGGAAGAGAACTTGGGTGTAGACATAAAGGGGTAGCTTGGGCTAATGGCACAATTCTGTCTGTATCTTTTTTTGAGCCAGGGTTTTGCTCTGTCACCCAGGCTGGAGTGCAGTGGCATGAGAGCGTGATCATGGCTCACTGCAGCCTCGATCTCCCAGGCCCAAGTGATCCTCCTGCCTTAGCCTCCTGAGCAGCTAGGACTATAGGTGCTCCCACCACACCTGACTAATTTTTTAATTTTTTTGTAGAGATAGGGGCTCCCTATGTTGCCCAGGCTGGTCTCAAACTCCTGGCCTCAAGCGGTCCTCCTGCCTCAGCCTCCTGAAGCGCTGGGATTACACATAGGAACCACTGTGCCAGGCCACAATTTTGTATCTCGACTGTAGTTACAGGTACATGAATGTATACATGTGACAAAATTGCACAGAACTTTATACACACACACACACACACAAATGAGTGTTTGTAAAGCTGGTAAATGCAATTAAAGCACTATGGATTGTACGAATATCAGGTTCCTAATTTCTATAACGTATCTGGTTATAGAAACATGACCATCAGAAGATGCTGGGTGAAGGGTACGTTGGATCTCCCTGTACATTTTTTTGCAACTTCTTGCAAATCTATAATGATGTTATCAAAAAAGAAAAGTATACCCAAAAAGAAAAGATCTTCAGGAAAAGAAAGAGTTGCTTAGCAAAGCCAGGCCTACAGATAGCAGCTCGAGTAGGACACCAAAGAACAGGCGTCTGAGAGCCCAGTGAGGAAAGAAACGTTGGCCAAATATCCATTTCTTAACTCCCGAAATAAATGCGGGGGACACAAGGAGAAAAATAATTGATTCTGTGCAAACCAACCCAATTCTGATCCTAGCCCCCTGTGTTCTAACTACAGGAGCGTACTGCTTTCCAAATCCACAATGTTTTATGGCCTTAACGGACCAAGTTGTGTAATTATCATCACACTATGATGCAACACCTAATTTTAAAATCCCACAATAAAGTCACAGCAGGAGGACAGTTACAAAAGCTATATGATGTGATTGTCATTCGGCTTCCACTACAGTTAACATTAATCTGTTTCTTTTTAGATTCTCAATTCTTTCAGAGTATATGTTGAAACACTGCTTCTTTTATTCGTGTTTCATTTTTCCTAATGATAAAACATTGGTAGAAATCAGTTTGAGGCTTAGCCTAGCTAAAACTAAGCCCTGAAACTGATTAAAGGAACGCAGCTTGCATTTTTTTATCTGACCACAAGAGGGCTTCTGTTTTTCCTAGTACTAAAAAGGCAGCAGAGTAATTTTTAATTTAGAATATGCAAATATCTTACAAGGGAAAATGAGTTGCAAACCAAGCTCTTCCTGCAAACACCAACATTTGACTAACTGACTATATAGTTTTTTGTTTTGTTTTGAGACAAGGTCTTGCTCTGTCCACCCAGGCTGGAGT